TAGTTCTATGACCTTTAAGGACCCTTCCAACCCAACCATGCTGTGATACCATCTTCAAAAACCCTTCCAACTCAACCACTCCACCATTCCACGGTTCCACGATCTTTAAGGACGAGTCCAACTCAACTCTGCTGTGATTCCGTGGTTCTCTGACCTTCAAGGACTCTTCCAACTCAATTATTCTAGGATTTCACGATCCTATTATTTTTAAGAACTCTCCCAACCCAACCATTCTATTGTTCTAGGATCTTTAAAGTCCCTTCCATCCCAACCTATCCAATCATTCCATGGTTTTCCCACTCACCGATCCCCGCCGGAGCCGTAGTGCCCGCCCTGCATGCTATCAGCATCCAGGTGGGACACCACGTCCAGGCGCTGGTTCATTTTGGCAATGACGGCGTCGGCACTGCCAGCACCATCCGGGTTCATGTCCATGTCCGAGTTGCCCATATCCCACGAGTTGGAGGCAGCCATGCCGTAGCCATAGCTGCCCGAGTTGTCCTGCCCGTAGCCGTAGCCGTAGTTGTAGCTCTCATACCCTGCAAGAACAAAACACAGAGCTCTCATTCCTGGCGATCTGTCGCAGGTAATATTTAATTCAAGCTAAGGTGCATGGGTGAACAAATGCACCCAACGCACAGCCTCTAAAATCAGCCTCGCTGGGTAACGCCAAAACCCATCGGAGGCCACTTTCCAGCCTTCACCCAGCAGCAATATCAAGATGGGCTGGAACAGAAAAACCCAAATCCTTGGCCGTGTGGCCCTTCCGAAAAAACGGGGGAAGGAAGTCGTTAACATCTCGACAAGGTTTTACAATAAAAGAAAGTGGTTGCAAAAAAAAGAACCCCAAAAATAAAAGAAGAGGGAATGCAGACTCTGCATTGTATCCTTCAGGAGCTGCAGCTAACGAACCCGTCTGTCAGGAACCCGCTCGAGCTGGCAGCATACTTGCCTCTGTTTGTCCCAGAGTTCCAGTCTCCATAACCTGGAAAAGCAGACAGAAGAAGCAGTCAGAGCCATGCTTCTCACAGGGGGTTTTGTTTACCACCAAAAAGGAGCAACACCCCGAAAGAAAGAAATGGTGGCAAATCCAATCTGCAAACAGAATCACAGAATCACAGGGGTTGGCAGGGAGCTGCAGAGCTCATGGAGTCCAACCCCCTGCCCCAGCCGTTCCTACAGCAGGGCGCACAGCTCGGCATCCAGGCAGGTCTGGAACATCTGCAGAGCAGGAGACTCCACCACCTCCCTGGGCAGCCTGTTCCAGTGAGCAGTGGGACCCATAGAGACACATTGGGACCCAAAGAGACACATTGGGACCCATAGAGACACGTTGGGACCCATAGAGACACGTTGGGACCCATAGAGACACGTTGGGACCCATAGAGACACGTTGGGACCCATAGACTCCCCCACCTCCCTGCAGCCTGTTCCAGTGCTCCTCCCTTCACTGCACAGCCGTTCCTTCGCACATTGCTGCACAACTTCCTATGCTCCATTTCCGGCCGTTTCCTCTCCTCCTGTCTCCACTCACCACTGAAAAGAGTCCGGCCTCGCCATTCTGCCCCCCACACCTCAGATATTTACAGACCTGGATCAGCTCCCCTCTCAGCCTTCTTTCCTCCATGCTGAACAGACCCAGTTCACTCAGCCTTTCCCCATAGCAGAGATGCTCCAGGCCCTTCACCATCTTGGTGGCCTCTTCCCAAGAGATCCCTGTCTGTTTTGTGCTGGGGAGCCCAGAACTGGACGCAGTGCTCCAGATGAGGCCTCAGCAGGGCAGAGCAGAGGGGGAGGATCACCTCCCTCCACCTGCTGGCCACGCTCTTTGCAATGCACCCCAGGACGCCATGTTGGCCACAAGGGCACACTGCTGGCTCATGGCAACCTGTCGTCCACCAGGACACCCAGCTCCCTCTCCGCAGAGCTCCCCTCCAGCAGCGCCTCCTCCATCCTGTACCACTGCATGCCATTCTTCCTCCCCAGATGCAAGACTCTACACTTGCTGTTGTTAAACCTCATGCAGTTTCTTCCTGCCCAGCTCTCAGCATGTCCAGCTCTCGCTGAATGGCAGCACGGCCTTCAGACGTGTCTGCACCACCGGTTGGGAGGATTCTTGTCCACCAACTGCTGGCCACCCCTGGCCTTCCTGCCCACGAGGACACACTGCTGGCCCACGGTCAACCTGCTGGCCTTCAGACGATGCAGATTTTTTCCTTGAATGAGGTCCCTGTTCTTTCTTTCAGCTTCCATTTCTGCCACGCCACACCGTGACACAGCGGTGTCCTACCCGCAAGTGCCAACTCTCCTGGTTTCACACAGAAAATTGGGAGCAGGGGGTACCAGACCTCCAAGACAAGGGAGCAGAAAGGGGTTCAGGTGCACACAACCCCACAATGGAGCATTTTGCAGGTAAAGAATTGGAGAATGAAATCAGGACCTGGCAATTCTTTGTGAGACAACATCTCTCCGGCCTTGAAAGAACCCCAAGAAGGTCCAAAACGAGCTCCCAAAAGAAGCTCTGAAAAGAGTCCCAAAAGGAGACTGCAAAGTGCTGCAAAGGAGCCCCCGGGATCCCAGCAAAGCTCCAGGAAGGGGCCACCAAAGGAGATCCCAAAGAGCTGCAATGGAGAACCAAATGAGCCCCCAAAAGAACCCCAAAAGGAGAACCAAAGAACCCCAAAAGGAGTTCCAAAAGGAGCCTCAAGATCCCAACGAAGCACCAAAAGCACAAAAACGAGCCTAAAACCCTAAAGAGCACTGCAGGAGCCACCAAAAGGAGCTCCAAAAAGAGCCCCAAAAGATCCCCAAAAAACTCTGAGGAGAGCCCAAAGGAACCACAAAGAGCCCCCAAGGAGCCTCAAGATCGCAATAAAGCTCCAAGAAGAGCCCCCAAATGAGACCCAAATGGAGATCCCAAAGAACTCCAATGGAGAACCAAAGGAGCCACCAAAAGAGCCCCAAAAGGAGAACCAAAGGAGCCTCAGAGTCCCAAGACCCCAGTTGAGCTCCAAGAAGAGCCCCTAAGATCCCCAGAAGGTGACCCCGAATCCCAGTGCTCACAACCCCTCCCTCGGAGGCTTGGTGATGGGACTGCCATCCACAGGAGGGGCCCTAAGGAGGATCTGGGGAACTACAGGCCTGTCAGCCTGACCTCGGCACCAGGGAAAGTTACGGAGCAAATCGCTTTGGGTGAGATCATTCATTTGGGTGAAAGGTTCATGAAAGGCAGGTTGTGCTCGACCGACCTCATCTCCTACGGCTGGGTGACCGGACTGGTAGATGAGGGAAAGGCTGTTCACAGAATCACAGAATCACAAGGTTGGAAACGACCTGCAAGATCATCCAGTCCAACCCCTCCCATTGCTATCAGTACCACAAGCACTAACCCACATCTCGTAGCTCCTCATCCAGGCGCCTCTTGAACGCTGCCAGGGACGGCGACTCCACCACCTCCCTGGGCAGCCATTGCAGTGCCTGACCACCCTCTGAGAGAAAAAGTTTCTCCTCATGTCCAACCTAAACCTCCTCTGCCATTTCCATTCCAAGTCCACTTCTTGCCATTTCCTCAGGTCCTACTATTAGCCTGGGAGAAGAGGCCAGACCCTTTTACACCACAGCCTCCCTTCAGGAAGTTGTAGAGTGCTATGAGGCCTCCCCTGAGCTCCTCTTCTCCAGGCTGAACAATCCCAGCTCCCTCAGACGCTCCTCATAAGACTTGTGCTCCAGACCCCTCACCAATTTCATTGCCCTTCTCTGCACATGTTTCAGGCCCTCATTGTCTTTCTTGTAGTGAGGGGCCCAAAACTGAACACAGCACTTGAGGTGCAGCCTCACCAGTGCTGAGTACAGGGGCACAATCACCTCCCTGCTCCTGCTGGCCACACCATTTCTAATGCAGGCCAGGATGCCGCTGGCCCTCTTGGCCACCTGGGCACACTGCTGGCTCGTGTTCAGCCGAGCATCAACCAACACCCCCAGGTCCCTTTCCTCTTCACAGTCATCCAACCACTCATCCCCAAACCTTTGTGCTGCATGGGGTTGTTGTGCCCAAATGCAGGACCCGGCACTTGGCCTTGTTGAACCTCACCCCATTCACCTTGGCCCAGCGATCCAGCTGATCCAGATCCCTCTGCAGGGCCTCCCTGCCCTCAGGTAGATCCACACCACCTCCCAACTTGGTGCCATCTGCAAACTTACTCAGGGTGCACTCAGTGCCTTCATCTAAGTCGTCAATGAAGATATTAAACAGGATGGGCCCCGCTGATGAGGCCGTTTAGACTTCAGCAAAGCTTTGACATGTTTCCCACAGCATCCTCCTGGGGAAACTGGCTGCCCGAGGCCCGGTCGGGTGCACCCTGCTTTGGGTAAGGAGCTGGCTGAGGGCCGAGCCCGGCGGGTCGTGGTGAATGCAGTGAATCGAGCTGCAGAGCCGCTACAAGCGGTGTCCCCAGGGCTCGCCCTGGGGCCGACCTTGTTTGATATCTTTGTTGATGACCCAGAGGAGGGACTGCGTGCACCCTCAGTACGTTTGCAGCTGACACCGAGCGGGGAGGTGGCGTGGATCTGCCTGAGGGCAGGGAGGCCGTGCAGAGGGACCTGGATAAGCCGCATCGCTGGGCTGAGGTGAACGGGAAGAGGTTGAAGGAGGCCAAGCGCCGGGTCCTACGCTTTGGGCACAGCAACCCCAGGCAGCGCTGCAGGCTTGGGGCTGAGCGGCTGCGAAGAAGAAAGGGACCCGGGGTGGAGGTTGATGCCCGGCTGGCCAAGAGGGCCGAAAGCACCCTGACCCGCGTCAGCAACAGCGAGGCCGGCAGAAGCCAATCATCCCCCGCGCTCCGCTCTGTGAGGCCGCCCGCCAACCGGACGGTGACGGAACCCCGCGCGTCCGGCCCCAAAACCCCGTTTTCGGGACGTCCCGCCGCCCCCCGGCCCCCCGAGAAGCCCCTGGCCGCCCCCGCCGCCATCTTTGCGCCGCGCCCTCACCTGAGTAACTCATAATGGCGGCGCCGCCCGCCGCCCGCCGCCGCCTCTGCGCCCAACGGTACCGGCGGCGCCGCCCCGCCTCCCCGCCGCGCTCATTGGTCCGGCCTCCGGGCGGCCGGAGGAGGTCATTGGTCGCGTCTCCACCTCCCGCGGGGCGGTCTCGCCGAGGATTGGAGAATGCGGGTGCCAATCGTCGGCTTTCCCGATGGGCCCTGAGGGAACGTTCGTTGATTGGTCAGCTGGCAGAGGCGGTGCCGCCGCCGTTCTCTACTCTGATTGGCCATTCGGGGGTGGTGGGAGGGCTGAGCGCTGCCTCCACCAATCGCGTGGCAGAAGAGCCCGGAGCCACCGGCAACGCCCCCACCGCGCAGGTGCGACTCTTGGCCACGCCCCTTCCTTAGCACCGCGCGTCGCCATTGGCTGAGGACCGCGGGGCTCCGCTCCCGGCGGGGGATGAGCGCGCCGAAACCGCGCCAGTTCTGTGCCGGAACCCCGGGGCGCGGCCGCGTCCGACCCCACGTCCCCACGGCACGGCCTCCCCCCGACCTCCATCTCCCCACGGAAAAGCCTCACCGTGCCCCCAGTGCCGCTATGTCGTTGCACACGGCCATGTCGTGATGTCCCCATCGCGACATCTCTCCTCCCGTGCCGTGTGACACTGCCTCCTCTCTACCCGTGTCCCTCCGCCACAGGACGCGGCCACCCCGATGTCCCCATCCCGACCCTGGTGTCCCCATGCCCGGGGTCACGGCCACGCTTTGACCTCAATGTCCCCGCCGACACGGCCTCACCCTGACCCCAGCATCCCAAGCTCTGGGTCGTGCCCTCACCCTGACCCCGTGTGCCCCCCATCCCGACCCCACACCACGCCATCAGCCGTGGCCCCACGTCCCCTTTATGATGCTCCCAAGCCCTGACTCACAGCCATGTCCTCACCCCGCTGTTCCCAGCCCTGTGGGCTCCAACCACCCCTCTGGCCCCAAAACCAACCTCATTCCCCCCCCCCAAAATCCCCCGTGAGGACCCCCATGCACTCACACAGCCCCCTGGGGGTTGTTTCCAGAAGTTTAATCTAATGTACATATTCCCGGGTACATTAATAACCAGAATATGCCCAATGAAAAAAGTTAAAAGGTAAATTCCCTCCGAGCCGTGCTGGGCTCGGGACTTCGAAATAAAAATGAATGCTCCTTAAATTTTCTACACAAAACTAGAGTTAAAAAAGTCGAAGGTCTATGCAACTAGACAAGGGGGGGGAGAAAAAAAACAAAACAACAAAAAAAACAAACAAAAATATAGCAACAGTGAGGAGGAGCGGGGGGAGGAGGGGGACGTGCGGCTCCGCAGATCCCCCCCCCCCCCCCCCCCGGGACCCCCCCAGCATCACCGCAGCCCACGGTCCCATTGGAAATCGGGGGTCGGGGGGGTGGTGACGGGGAGCCAAGTGTTTTCCTTTGGGAAGGGGGAGCGGGGCAACATGCAACCCCGGAGCAACGGGCTCCGACAGCGCCGGGAACGACGGGCGGCGCTGCCTGCAGGGATCGAATATACAGCAACTCTCGGGCCACAGACAAACACACGGCGCTCGCTCCCCGCGTCCCTGAACCGGTGGAAGCCAACGCAGCTCCCGCCTCTTTGGGCTGAACCGGACCCGCCGTGTCGGGGGGGAGGGGGGGGGGCACCCGCGGTGCCACCGTTTTCCCCTGCCCCGTCCCCGAGGGCCCCCCCCCCCCCCCCCCCCCGGGGGGGGAGGGGGAGGGGGGGGGGGGTTTTGATCCTTGTAGTGCTTGCGGCCGGGTGCCCCCCATCCAGCCCGGCGCTGGGGTAGTGGGGGGGGGTGGGCTGAGGTTGCTCCGTGGGGGAGGCGCAGGCACGGGGTGGGGGGCGGAGGGTGCCCCGGTTCGGCTCCGTCGCCCTGGGGTGGGGGGCTCCGTTACTGAGCCTCGGCCACGGCGGGGGGCTCGGGGGCCGGGGCGTCCCCCCGCAGGGGGTCTGCTTTGGAGAAATTCATTTCCAGGATGTGTCGCTGGAGGTGTCGCACCCACTCCTCTTGGATGGAGAGGGGGCCCTGGAACTCCACCTCACAGAACCTGCGGGGACACGGCGGCAGCGGGTCAGTCCAAGGCTCCTTTAGCGGCCCAGAGGCTGTGGGGAGGGGGGAGAGGGGGGGGAAAGCAGGGAGGAAGGGGTCCCACAGCCCCAGGTGCAGCGCTGAAGGGTGCAGTGCCCATGAACAAAGAGCTCAGAGGTTTGGGAGCCGAGGGAAACACAAAGGGAAGCCAAATGGGAGCCCATGAGGAACCCAACAGGAATCCAAGGGGAAGCCAAAGGAAGCGCGAAAAGACAACCCAAAGGGAACCTAAAGCAGAGCCCACCTGGAAGCGAAAGGGAAAACCCCAAAGGGAACATCAAGAAAAGCCAAAAGAAGCCTCAAAGGAAACCCAACAGGGAACCCAAAGGGAGCCCTCAAAGGAAACCCAGAAAGAGACCAAAGGGGAGCCCAACAGAAACCAAAAGGGAGCCCTGAAGAAAGCCTACAGAAAACCCCAAAAAGAGACCAAAAGGGGAGCCCAAAGGAAACCCAAAAGAGACCCAGAGGGAGCGCTCCAATGGGAGCCCAAAGGAAACTCAAAGGAAGCCAAAGGGAAGCCTCAAAGAAAGCCAAAAAGAGCCCGAAGGAAACGAAAAGGCTGCCTCAAAAGGGAAGCCCACAAAAGGAAGCCGAAGCAAACCCAGAGGGCACCCAAAGGGGAACCTGAAAGAAAGCCACAAGGAGCACAAAGGGAGCCCAAAAGTTAAGCCTAAGGTGGGCTGGGGCCCAAAAGGGGATGGCCTACCTGCACTTGAGGGTGTAGATGTTACCCACAAACTTCACCAGGGAGGTCTGCGGCGGGCGGGGGACCAGCGAGGGCACCGGCCTCATCCTGGGTGGGGGCTGGCGGGTCTCCTCCATCTTCTGCTGGAAGTCGGCCCCCTCCTCCTCCCGGTGCAGGGAGGGGTCCAGGGGCCTTGCCTGCCTCCGCTCAAACTCTAGGGAGGGAATAACGGAAGGGAAACGGGGCATCAGGGCGGAAGGGGGAACCCTGCCGTGGTGCTGAGGGCTGCGAGAGATGGCACAGCCTCTCTGCTTTGGAGCAACAGCGCTGCCGATGACAGGAGGGGCTCCTCCTCCTCACAGATCCGTGTCCCAGCAGCTCCAACCTCCCGAGGGAATGGGATCCCAGCGGCCTCAACCCCCACGGGAACCACATCCCAACGGCCGCCGCCCCCAGGAGATCCGCATCCCGAGGGAACCGGGTCCCAACCCGTCCCCCTCCCGACAGCTGCACCCCCCCCCGTCCCAACTCACTGTGGAAATTCGAGCGCTGATGCTCTTCCATCTTCACCAGCGAGAGCGGCGAGGTGACCACGGGCCGCTCCCCGGTGCCGTCCAGGATCTTGCAGGGCTCTCCGTGCGCCAGCTCCGCCGCCAGCCCTTTGCTCAGCAGCGCCATGCCGCCGTGCTGCAGGCTCAGCGGCACCCTCCGCGCTCCGTCGTGATCTCGGGCGTGCGACGAATTCCGAAATTTCTTAGTGAAGGGTCGGCCGCCCTGGATGTAGCTGCGATACGCGCCGGCTTTCTGCGGCCGGTGCCGGATCCATTCGCTGAGCGTCTCGATGGGCGAGCCGTTGACGCACCACTCGGTGACGCCGAACTGCCGCAGGTGCGCCCGCGCGTGGCTGGCCAGAGCCTTGCGGTTCTCGAAGTAGAGGCCGCAGAGCTCGCAGCACGCTTCGGTGGCTGGGGGAGCGGGGGGCAGGCGGTGAGCGAGGGGCTGAGACGTGCCCCGTCCCCCCCACCGCCACCCCTGCGTGGGAATCCGCCCCCTCCTGGCGTGTGGCGGGCGGCGGTGAGCTCTGAGGTGGTCCTGGCAGGAGGTCAAGGCTCCAAGATGGGGGATCCATCTCTAAGTGGGACGGGGGGTGGTGGACGGTCCCCAAATCTCTGCTCCTTATCAGAGATATCACAGCAAAAAGCCGGAGCCCGATATCCAAGTGTGGTGCCCCATGGACGGTGGGACTGCGGCCAATGCAACACCATGGCTGATACATGGCCATGGCCAACACAACACCATGGCTGATACATGGCCATGGCCAACGCAACACCATGGCTGATACATGGCCATGGCCAACACAACACCATGGCTGATACATGGCCATGGCCAACACAACACCATGGCTGATACATGGCCATGGCCAACACAACACCATGGCTGATCTGTGGCCATGGCCAACACAACACCATGGCTGATACATGGCCATGGCCAACACAACACCATGGCTGATACATGGCCATGGCCAACGCAACAGCATGGCTGACACGTGGCCATAGCCAACGCAACAACTTGGCCAACGCAACACCATGGCCAACACAGCAACTTAGCCAACACAACAGCATGGCTGACACGTGGCCATGGCCAACAGCATGGCCGACACGTGGCTATGGCAACGCAACACCACGGCCAACATGTGCCCACGGTCAACACAACAACTTGGCCAATGCACGACCGCAGCTGACGGTGGCCACGGCCAACGCACGCCAACCCTCCAGCCCCTCCCCGCAGCCTCCAGGAACCTGGACAAGCCGCACCACGTGCCTCCCCACACTTACATGTGTGCGTGGGCTTGTCGTGCACGGACTTGGTTTTGAAGGGCAGCTCGGTCTGGATGTAGGCCTTGTGCTTCACCTCGGGGTGGGGACCCAGGCGGTCGTCCTGCAGCGGCCGTTTGGTGGCCAGCGGTGTCAGGAAGGCGCCGTGGGGCTTGGCGGTGAGCGGCGACAGCGAGAGCTCGCGGCCGATGCTGGAGCCGCCGGGTTTCCCCGTCCTCCCGCCCAGTGGAGGCAGGGCCATGGCCTGCAGCACTTTTCCAGAGGGCTTGGGGTCCATCCCCTCCTCCCCAAAGCCTTTGGGGGTTTCGATGATGGAGGTGTGGGGCTCCTTCTTGATGACGCAGGGCTTCGATTTCTTCTTGAGGATCTCGCGCAGCGTGTCGATGGGGGAGCCGTTCACCGACCACTCCGTCACCCCCATCTGGCGCAGGTGGGAGCGCGCGTGGCTCGACAGACCCTTGCGGTTCTCAAAGAACTCCCCGCAGAACTCACAGCGGATGTCCCGCACCGGGTCGGCTCGGGAGGCTGCAGGGAGAGAGCTGGCGTCAGGGGGAGTGGGTCTGAGCCCACCTGCCCCCATATCCCACAGCACAACCCACAGAAGACGATCCACAAGCAGATCCCACAGCGCCGTGCTTCCAGCTGACCCCAAAGTACCCGAAGAGAACAGCACCCATCAGAGAGCTCTTGGGTTGGAGGGGTCTTTAAAGATCATAGAGCCATAGAAGGGGTTGGGTTGGAAGGGTCTTTAAAGATCATAGAGCCATAGAAGGGGTTGGGTTGGAAGGGTCTTTGAAGATCATAGAGCCATAGAATGGGTTGGAAGGGTCTTCAAAGATCATAGAGCCATAGAATGGGTTGGGTTGGAAGGGTCCTTAAACATCATACAGCCTTAGAAGGGGTTGGGTTGGAAGGGTCTTTGAAGACCATAGAGTCATAGAATGGGTTGGGTTGGAAGGGTCCTTGAAGATCATAGAGCCATAGAATGGGTTGGGTTGGAAGGGTCCTTGAAGATCATAGAGCCATAGAATGGGTTGGAAGGGTCTTCAAAGATCATAGAGCCATAGAATGGGCTGGGTTGGAAGGGTCCTTGAAGATCATACAGTGATAGAATGGGTTGGGTTGGAAGGGTCCTCAAAGATCCTAGAGCCATAGAATGGGCTGGGTTGGAAGGGTCCTTGAAGATCATAAAAATACAGAACCCTGGAACGGGTTGAATTGGAATGGTCCTCAAACATCAGAGAACCATAGAAAGGGCTGGGTTGGAAGGGAGCTTACAGATGTTAGAGCCATGCAATGATAGAAGGGATTGGCCTGGAAAGGACCTTGAAGATCATTGAATGATAAGAAGGGGGTGGGTTGGAAGGATCTTTGAAAACCGCCATGGAATGGGCTGGAAGGGACCTTGGATCCCACATCCCCCTCCCCAGCACGGCGTGTGCCCGACCCCCACCAGCCCACGGGAGGGGGAAGGTGACAGCCACACACTTACAGAGGTTCAAGGGTGACATCTCCTCCAGCGGCGGCCAAGCCTGGTCGGAGGGATGGGGCTCCCCGTGGAGACCCCCGGTCATCATCTCACGCTTGATTTCCACTCTCATCTGGTCGTGTTTGAGCTTCTTCTGCAAGGAGGGAGGAGAGAGGCCTGGAAACATCTTCCGGGCAGTGGGAGGCGGGGACGAGGTAGGAGAGTGGCCCAGGGGACTGCCGGGCTGCTGGACCTTCTTGGGCAGAGTCGGGATGTGGAGCTCGCCGGGACCCCGCGGCTCCAGGGGTCCCATGGCCGCCAGGAGGGTCTTGGCCATGGCTTTGTGCCCGGGGCCCATGGGGTTGGAAGCTCCGCTCCGCGGGTGAGTTCGGCGCTTGAGGATCTCGCGCAGCGTGTCGATGGGGGAGCCGTTGACGTACCACTCCGTCACCCCCATCTGGCGCAGGTGGGAGCGCGCGTGGCTCGACAGACCCTTGCGGTTCTCAAAGAACTCCCCGCAGAACTCACAGCGGATGTCCCGCACCGGCTCCCCCCCGGCGGCTGCAGAGGAGGTAAAAAAAAAAAACAGAGAGAACTGTGGTTACTGGGGATGCAAAGGTGGAGTTTGGTGGTGCCAAGGAGCCGAAGGCGTGCGAAGCCAACAAAGTGCATCCTCAGTGGGAGGCAAAGAGCGGGGCTGAGCCCAAAACAGGAACCGCACAGAGCCCGTCCTCAGTGGGACTGGAAAATGAACTCAAAGATGTGAACCCAACAAAGCCAGTCCTCAGCGGGACTCCAAAATGAGCAGGGCTGAACTCAGACACCAACCCAACAACAAAACCAATCCTCAGTGGAACTCTGAAGGGAACAGG